AAATCAATGGCAAAAGTAATAACGGTTCGTGGCCGATAAAGGATAAAAAGCAGGGATTGTCAACTAACCTTTTCAATCTGGTTCACCGTATGAGGAGATAGGGAACTGCTGCAGTGAACGAGGTCGGCGTAAGTGAGGGAAGGTTGCTGACTAGCGGCTTGTTTCTGCTTTTCAAAGGCCCCCGAAAGTCGCGGCCAAATTTTAGATCGAAAGCAATGTGGGATACCCCCGTTACCCTTGAGGGAGGGTCCTTCGGCGTCATCTCTTGAGATTCCTATCCAAACGGGCGCCTTGGCCCGCGGGTCAGGGATGCCGCGAATCAGTTCAGTTAGTCGGGGGGACGGAGTGATCTGAGGTACAATGCGAGACCATAAGGACTCTTCCTGAGATAACATTCCATTGTCTAGTTCACCTAACTCCTCCGGTACACCGAGACGGTTAGTATAGGAAAACTCGAGGCAAACTAACCAGTTTCGGCGACTATCAACAGAGTCGATGAAAGGAGTCATTGGGAGACCAGATTCTAGGGAGAATTGAAAAATTAGGCACATAGAAACCGTAGGGAGCATTTACAAAACACTCCTGCCTGAATGAAGGAGCAATGCGTCAAGCCCCGTATTTTGCCAGTAATTATATGTATATATGCTGACAAAATACAAGCAATAAATATATATATATATATGAGATGGAGCCGACAAAGACAAGCGAGACCGGAACGGCCATTTCTGGCTTATTAGCCGTCATCAACCAGTCATACCCAACCCCAAGTGTGGATCACTTGAGATTCGAACCCGGGATCTTTGGTCATGGAGTTTGACGCTCTACCATTGAGCCACGGGCCGTTGTCCTGTCGGTTGTGATCGTGAATATTAATTATGACAGTGGGCGCTCGCCGATCAGGTTACGGAACATTCTCGTTGCGTTGTGCCTTGGGGCTCATACTAGAACCCTCGCAAGCAGTCGCACAGCGACTAGTAGTAGACATAGATGAGATGATATATATATATATATCGTCTCTTCTTCTCATACATATATATATATATGGTCGGGGGCGCTCACCGATCGTTCATACGGAACTCACTCGTTCCGTTGTGCCTTAAGGGCTCTCTCTCGAGCCCAACCAGCAGCCGCACAGCGGCGCATGATATATAGGCCATTGTATATTCTCGATCGAAAACCGACAGGGCAACGGGCTCGTGGCCCGGTGAGTAGAGGCGTTGACTTCTAAACCAACAGGTCGCGAGTTCGAGGCTCGGGTGTTCCACACTTCGGGCTTGGGTATGGCTGGCTGACGACGGCTAATAAGCCAGAAATGGCCATTCCAGTCTCCCTTGTCTTTGTCGGTAATACTATTCTGCTCCGATGCTGGTAGTATCAACCGCCATGTTGATCTGGACGCCCATTATGAGGGCCTACGCTCACGACTTACTGCCCCCCGCCCTGATGCCACAGCAACGGCCGCCAATTTAGCCACCCGGAGTCCAATTGATCCACCATTACACCCTCCCCCTCCAGCACAGGCATCCATAATTGTTCCACCTCCCCCCTCGCTCAGAGACCTACCATGACTTTGTGATCATCCCTCTCATAGGCCGATAGTCTGTCTGCCCTGTCGCGCTAACTAGTCCAGTGTGACAAACAAACTTTCTCCCCTGTTTTCATTTCGTCTGACGACGGGTTGGTGTCACCAGCTCGAAAATTCACGAGTACAACTCGATTTTTCCGAAGAACCTCTTCCTGTTTTCATTATATCGACTCGGAATGCATAACATCTCTGATCTACAACATATATTTGGGCGTCAAACGCTTATTCTTACAAGACGTTGGGAGAAATTCGCACAGAGACAGGCCACGACTTTTGAACAACTGTCCTTCCTCCATCGCTGTCGCGATCACAAAGTGTTACCAAAGTCGCTTCGTTTCAAACCGACGTTGCCGAATGAGACTGGGCGATTTCTTGCGTGCAAATACGGATGGCGCGTTTTGAGCGCTATAATATCTGATGTCCACAATCGTCTTCGCAGATTCGAAGCAGTAATTGCTGATCTCAAAAATCAGTGCGCTTCAGCCTTACCTGAAAACGTATTCGAGGATGTGAATCAAAGAATTAACGCCACCACCATGGATGCGAGATTGAAGAAGCGTGTTGGTCTCCAGGAGAAACTCCAATCTCTTCTCTGCAATACGAAACAGAGGAGTATGACCACGAGAGTCATCAACCTTTCGAAGAGGATTCTCTCACCTGCCGAAATCAGCCTCCTGTCCAAGGGAATAGGATTTAATCATACGGATGCCTTGCCTACCAATTTCCTAGCTGGCCTCGAGTCAGTTCTACTGGCCTCAGCCCTTCCAGAAGATAGGCGGGCAGACATACGCAGCTGTGCCACTGGTATCCTTCGGCAAAAAAGACGCCAACAAACCCTACCGGCCGATGAAGCACAAGGATTACGATCACTGAGATCGGATCACAATATTGTTGTTGTTCCCGCTGACAAGGGTGGCGCTACTGTCGTCATGGACAGAATTGATTACGTCAACAAGGCGAATGGAATCTTCGGTGACGTAGCATCCTACACTCTTCTTGCCGAAGACCCGACGAAAAAGCAAGCCGCTGCCATCAAGAAAAAGGTTAATGAGCTCACTCGTCTGAAAGTTATAAGTCCAGATGATTCCAAGCTGATGACCCTCAATGATCCCCATATCGCACGCGCGTATGGTCTCCCAAAAGTGCATAAAGTGGACGCCCCACTGAGGATTATTGTACCACTCATCGGATCACCTACGTACAATATAGCTAAGTGGTTGTACAAGCATCTGAAGCAGTTAACCCATGGATCTGACTACAGCATCAACAATTCTCTCGCGTTCCTCCAAAGGGTCCAAGGCCTCGAAGTAAGTGCCGATGAATGCCTCCTGTCCTTTGACGTCGTTGCCTTATTTTCTTCCATACCACACGATTTGGCAATTGACTGCGTCGCCCAACGCTTACAGGAGAATCCTATTGAGATTCCAACTCAACATATTATAGAACTGCTCAAACTCTGCCTTAAAAACTACTGTCAATTCGACAATAAGTTCTACCAACAGGTAAAGGGAACCCCAATGGGCTCGCCAATATCTGGACTGATCGCAGAACTTGTATTGCAGCGACTAGAAAAGAAGGTTTTCCAAGATCTCAGCCCCAAAGTGTGGCTTCGCTATGTAGACGATACCTTTGTCGTGATAAAGAACTGCGAAGTTGAACGGCTGCATCAGAGGCTGAATGACGTCTTCCCGGCCATACAGGTTACTCGTGAAGAGGCAACAGGGGACAGCCTGCCGTTTCTTGATGTGAAAATACAAAGGCTGAGCGATGGTAGTCTCGCGACGAGCGTCCATAGGAAAGGATCTAATTCCGAAATTATCCTCAATTATGGAAGCAACCACCCCGCAGCTCACAAAAGGAGCTGTGTTCGAACTCTGTTCCACCGGGCCTATCGTTATTGCAACAGCGCCGATCTCCTTAAGAAAGAGCTTGCCTACTTGTATCGGTTGTTTCGATCCAACGGATATCCGACAAGTTTCGTAAAGAACTGCCTCAGACACCAGACACAACCGCAAGCTCCCACCCTCAACGGAGAAACTGTGTCTCGACAATTCTTCTCTCTGCCTTATATGCAGGGAGCGTCCGA